CGACTAACTCTAAATTTATTTTAATTACCACCTTATCTAAATTTAATAGTCGATTATCACGTAAAAAACCTAGTTAATACTAATAAATTAAATAACTAATAAAAATACTAAAATGTATTATGTACAATTAAATACACAAAGTATCTCAGAACCCGAAATCCCAAAAATATACCAATGCACCTATGTAATTGTCATGGCAATATTTAATTTCTATAGTTATTTATTGCAGTGTTACAAAAAATGATGAATAAACATTTCAAGTTTAATTAACGTTAAGCTCCCCAATAATCTGCAGTTACAAAAAATAATCAACAACCCAATGAAATTGGCACATGATTGTCCACGCATGCGTAAGCCTACTCCAGTACCAGTTTATATAAAATCATACAGTTAGCATATAACCTCAAAATTGGTTACCTAATGTCACAAATTCGACCAATCAGCCAATCAGCACTTTCATGAAAAAGAAATGAGAATTTCGTCCAATGCAATAAAAATAAAAAATATCAAAAGTTGGGCGCCAAGTTGCTACGTCCACCCACTCTTGGGTATAGTAGCATACTAAAAAAAAATGGCGAGACTGCCAGATGCAATAGCCTTAATGGCAAAATGTGCAAAGGTTGCAGAGAGTCCAGTAGCTCAGGGAGATGGGCGTGGAGGTGCAGTCTCTATCTCTGCGGTTGCACCAAGGCTATGTTATAAAACTACAAGAAATTATAGCAAAAAAAAAAGAAGGTATAATAATCAAACTACTTTAATGATAAGTAATTATCAAATAACAATTGTTATAACAAAACATGAAATAGCCAAGAATAGCAGATTGGTCAAATATATGGCTGCAATAGGTCAAAATACCCCCGAGAGGGGTGGTCATAAACAGATACGCGGGGTCCTAGACACCTCTAGGGTAAATATGCAAAATGAAGTCCCTTTTAGTATATATACTGGCAGGTTTACAGTCGTAACTAAGTGAACAGAGAAGGCTTTAAGGGAAAATAATAGTTCAATAATTTAACTAATTAATGAGTAGAGAAATGAATAAGACCTTGTGTCCGGTGTTTTTAGGTTACAAGCGGGCGAAGCCTCGCCGCCTGGGTCGGATGTCCTGGTACCTTCGCCCTGGTCTGTCGCCTGCACGTTCGCCTCCGTGCCTGGGGCTCGTATTGTACTGCAGTACTATTGGGGCTCTCTCTCTCCACAGTATATTTTGCAATTACCAGCAATTAAGGGCAGCCACACGGGGAATAAAAAAAAGGCCTAGAAATGAACGTAGTTGAGGGAAATAAACGTTAATGCAGGTGATTGAATCCACCTCACAAAAGTTATATAAATGGCTTGACAGAATTAATGGAAAAGAATGTATTTAGATACCTTGGATATTGGGCGGCCTTTCTTGCAATTTTTATGTGTTGCACAGTACAATTGCAAATCCAGATTAACACTGCTATCTATCAGCGATAGATACGCTAATCAGTAAAATGCAACACACTTTTAATTAACTTTAATTTACATAAATCCACAAGCTGCGTGAATGACTGCTATCTTTCAAGACAGAATTCGTAGTAAATCGTCAATTTTATTTCGGTGCGAAAAACTGAACCTCTTTTTGCCTATACTCGACGGCGATAAAAGTGTATTTTAAAGGTTTCTATTAAGATTATAATATATTGCCGAAATGTACTGAATTTAAAGGTACTTAATTATTTATTTTAAGAAAATCTTAAGCCATTTATTTATTTTTTTTTTCGTATTTAATTTCAATCTTAAACCGTTCATTTCTGGTTCGTGCAAAAATGTTTTAAATATTGCCATCACTATATTACATTCGTCTCTATACCGGGCGACAAAATAGACCCGTAACAATAATGTATTAGTAATTAAATATATTACAGTTAATTACAACATATTATCTATTGAATAGTGCCCCTAAGGTAGGGTGTCGTAAGAAATAATTAAAGTATTTGAATATAAATTAAATTTGTTAATTCTTTAAAAAATGAAGTTGACGACTTGGAGATTAAGCCCGGTACTTTCTTGTTTACTGAAGGTATATTATATTTATCCCCTTATCGTAATCTAATTTTAAATTTACCGCCAATTGACCATGTAACGTCACTTCCATGCCGCCATGACAATTCTTGTAGCTCGATGGACATGTGACGTCACTTCAATGCCGCCATGACACTTCTTGTATGTCACCATCCAGCTCAAGAATCGAATGATGCAATACTGGATAAGAATGATGCAATGCTGTTTGGAGGTCATTGACCTCACCTTATCGTAATTGAATTTTAAATTTACCGCCAATTGGCCATATGACATCACTTCCATGCCGCCATGACAATTCTTGCCTAACACTACAATTATATAGGAAATAAAATATCAGGTTAAAGTTTATGCTAGTGTGGCAGTATTAAAAGAAATAGATTATCAAGTTGCAATTTTGCTAACACTGCAATTATATATCAGGTTAGTTTATGCTAGCGTGGCAGTATTGGAGGTTATTGACCTCGAATGATGCAATACCGGATAAGAGTGACGCAATGTTGTTTGGAGGTCATTGACCTCCCTTATCGTAACCATAGCCCCGCCTCTTTGTCGCCATCTTGTAAGTGACCTATCACCTGCCGCTGCGTACCGCACCCTGCACGCCTCCATCTTCCCGCTACCGCCATCTTGCCCCGCCTCCTCCTACAAGCGACATCTATAAAATCCTGGCGGCAGAATTCCGAACTAACCGCCGCCATCTTCTTGTTAGCGACCTATCACCTGCCCTCAGCTTCCAGAGGTAGCCGCCCCCCGTGCCGCCATGACACTTCTTGCAGCTCGATGGCCATGTGACGTCACTTCCATGCCGCCATAACACTTCTTGCAGCTTGATGGCCATGTGACGTCACTTCCATGCCGCCATGAGACTTCTTGCAGCTTGATGGCCATGTGACGTCACTTCCATGCCGCCATGACACTTCTTGTTAGCGACCTATCACCTGCTCTCAGCCCCCTCAGGTAGCCACCCCCGTGCCGCCATGACACTTCTTGCATGCACCATCCAGCTCAAGAACTCTTCTGTTTTAATAAATTATTGTTCCTTGTAACTTCATTGTGGAGGAATGCAACTTAATACGCCAACACAGGATGCCCGGTTTTCACCTTTCAGTGGTGGAGTACACAAGAATTAAAGTAACTAATTATTTGCGACTATTTATTTGATTGAGTGTTATTAAAAACGGATAGATATCTTGGTAAAATAATCATTTTTGTGTTGTGTTGACAGAGGCGTATAATTTTTTTTTTTATATAATAAAGACATCTCTACAACATTCATTAAAATGATAATTGTGAAAATAAAAAAAATATGTTTACCGTCATAAACATTCTGTGAAATTTCAATGATGGACACAAGGACATCAGTGGCTCATGACTTTTTGAGATGGGTGGGCAAAATATTTTTTCTCATGTAACTTAATATCACGTACGAATAATTGCACTTTAAGTAATCTATTTACTTTTGAAAGTGTAACAAAGTTAATAATTATGAAAATAGTTAATATAAATATACCTGCAAATTATATTACCTACAATAGTTATTCCAAAAGTATAATAGTTCAGCAAGGACAAAAGAGAATGTCATCAGAGCGATTTCTTGCCGGGATAGGGGATAAGTGAAGGATAGAAAAACATAAAAAATAATATAATTATCTAAACAAAGAGTAAAATTCTCTGTCAGTTTTAAAGCAGTAGCACTTACTGAAATTACTAACAATAAAGTATAATAAAATTCTAATAAATAAATAAATAAGTAAATATCAATAAGCCGCTTTCCAATGTCTCTATTTTTGTCCACGAGTTTAAATATTCACAAAATGTGGAATCAATAAAAGTTTGAATGTTTTGTTTTCCTAATAATTTAAATTTTAATGATGAATATGTATGCTCCTCCAATCGCATGTGTTTTTTTAAGGGTTCATTATGTTTCAGATCTGAATATCCTAGATACCTAATTTCACGGAGTTTTACTTTTTTCATTAAACAGGAAGCAATTTCAACAACATAATTTGTTTTTCATTTCACTACCTGTTAACCACTCATATTTTTATTTTACCAATTTTTACTAAATTATCTGTTGCTTCCGCAACTGTTTTTATTTATTAAATTTTTCATGTCAGGCATAAGTTTTAATTGTGAAATAAATAATTTATTATCGAAAGTTAACGTAAGACATTTTTTATCTAATAAAATATTAACAATATCACCATCGCTACTCACAAATCATTTTGTTTTATATCAAACTATTAAACAATATAAACTTATCTAAACCACTAATACTAACCCTAACCTATAACCAAGTCATAAGGCACAAGGAATAATAGAACAAACAAACCGCAGATTAGGTACACGTAGCTACCCGAGGAATATACGTGTGAAGCCGAAGGGCTTGCCTGATGTCGTAGGTTTATTTTATGTATACTCAAATGATAATATTAAAAATATGATTGAAATTCAAAGAATCTATCAAATAGAATAGAAACTAAAGTTTTTTTAAATCTAACAGTTTCTTTTTTATTTGAAAAAAAAAATAGATATTGGATTTAAGTCCTAAAAATAATTTACTTCACTTCCATATTTACAAACTCGAATATGTTAAAACATTGAAAATTTCTCCGCAATCCCTCTTAATTCAGTTTAACAGTAACGAGTTAAAAAAATCTTAATAATTATATTTCAGGGTGGGCACTGCCCACCTTGCCCACCCTGACGAGCCACCACTGGTGGACATGTTTGAGTAAAAGTATGTTTTTAAGAATGCTTTAACACTCCTAATCGCAAAAAGTATAAGTTCTATTCCTAATATCTGGTCGACGAATATAGAAGCATCCTGAAGCAGATACAGTTATTACAATGTATGGTTGTATAATGCAATAAATTGCAGAGTTAAATGTATAGATCTTTTATTAATTATAGATTTATAGATTATTTATTGATATAAATATAGAATGATGCAATATGAATATACATATATTAATTAGACATAAATAAACAATTGGCATATACTTTATACTTACATATAATAATAATTTATATAATTTCAGTGCAAAATTCTTGTGATAACCAAATACATCACGAACCACTATGAGGTAAATACTTTTAAGACTATACTACAGATGCAGTATTCTAAAATGTTCAGATTTTACAAAAGAAATATAAGCTAAGTATTTGAAAAATTGTCTTATATTTTTCATTATCAATTTTAACAAAAAAAGACAAATTTTCTTGAAGTTTTTATAGTAAAAACTGATAAAATCGATACAGAACGAATTAAAAAAATAGCGTAAACTCATAAATTTAAGAAAATGTGCGTATCATGATGCTGAATATGATTATTATTTTATTTTAAATTCCTGTTTCCCAATTTTGATAGCTCCTTTTAAATAAGAAGTTCTTTTTTAAGAAAATATTTTAGTAGTTATGCTCATAAACAGAATAATAAATAAAAATAAAAACAAATTACAGTAAGAATTAAGTTGTCCATATCTTAGTAATATGCAAGACGGAAAACACATTCTATTATGGCTTCAAATTATTTTAATCTGAATCAATTTAATATTGAATATTTTGTAGCATGATGCCCGTTGCCAGGTAATGTAAAAACAACAAAATTGTAAATAAAAATAGGATTTGAAAAATACCTGTTGATGTCATATCTAGAGCAGTGATGAAGATATATGACAAATGATGGACATTCAAAATTAAAATTCACCATTGAGCGATATTTTTTTAATTCACCCTATGAACTTTATTACAAAATTTACAAGAACATTGTTAAAAACATATTACTAGGTATGTATTCGTATATACTGGGAGATTCTTAACCCATATGCATAAAGTTGAGGAATATAAGGTCAATTTTTTCATTTTTAAAGCCATTCCTCAAATTTATTATAGGTTAAAAATCGCACTGCTAAAATATATTAACTATCATATACTTAATATACCTAAATGCAAAAGAAATTTCAAATCATCAATTCTTATTATTGATCCTTTTTGTTAGTAGCTTGATTGTAGGTTGGTGGATTTTCCTAAAAATAGATAAAATTCATAATTAAATTTGTTTTATAGGGTAACTCATTAATCCTATTATCGTTTAAAGGATACAGCCACTCTGGAATTTTGAAAAAAATGATTTTTAGATAAATGGTTTAAACAATGCTTTATTATGTGAAGAATATAGGGAAAAAGTTTCAGGTGGGGGAAAAACAACAAATAATTTAGCAATTCCTATTGGCTTTCCCATTTGCCAGATTTAAAGACCCTCGACTTTTTTCTTTCTGGCTACTTAAAAGATAGGGTGCATGCACTGTCAGGTCGAAACTGAAAATGAGTGCCATTTCCCTATTTCCAACCAATGTATATTCAAAAAAATAACAAAATATTAAATGAAAAAAAAAACCTTAATCCCACCATTTACAATTTAACCACATCTACTAAAACACGTACTAACTAATTTGTGATCAAAGAGTTACTACTTTCTAGATATACTTTCTTTCTAGTATGGGCCTATTTATCGGTTGCCCATATTTTGCACTATATCATGCGGATCTAGTTTACCAGACGGGACAAATAGGGTAAATTAGTAGAATTTAATAGTGAATTTCACCTAAAAGAAATTTAACCTATCTCATTTCATGTTGTTACTGATGAAGAACTTAAATTATGAATTTCGTATGTAGATATTTTAAGCTCTGATATTATTAAGACATTTTGTTTGTAGATAATTCGAATATCTCATCTCTTATTAGGCATGACATTTATTATTTGAAGCAATGTTATTAAATTTTTTCTTATATGTATCATTTTTTAACTCAACTAATTTTTTTATTTCAATGATTTGTCATTTGATATGGTTGATTTCGCCGAAATGCGAAATTTTTTACTTGTGCAGAAAATACTTTGAAAATTACACAGCCACACAGAAAAAAAAGTTGGGTATACTTTTTATGCGACATATATTTTTCGTAGTAATTTGGCCTCCTGAACACGAATCTGGGGTCAGAATTGGCCCATCACGTCACAATTTTTTCCTAACCTCAAAAAACTTGTGAAAAATAGTGAAAATTGATGAAAATTTACTGGGAAAATTTGGAAAAAAATTTATTTCCACATCAAATAGTACATTTTTATGTAAAAGACTCTGCTGAATTCAAATCCACTGTCAGAATTGAGCTAGAACGTGTGGTTTTTTTTCTAACCTCAAAAAACCGAGCAGGAATCGCTATTTTCAAATTCTGAGCGGATTTTGACCAGATTTTGTATAAAGGGGTTTTTTGGGTCGCTGATTACGAATATGAATTCACATTGTAAAAATTCAAGATGGCTGATCCAATATGGCGGGTGTACTTTTTTGAAATCCACCGATTTCAGTAAAATTTGGCATCATAAGGATTGCTGGTTGATCTCACCTTCATTAATCACACATCTGGAGCCAGATTTTCATAAATCAAGGTAAAAGATTCCACTCCGTCTAAAAATGTGACTTCGCTTAAAAAAATGACTTAAGGACTCTACACATGTAATGATGTGTAGTGTGATGTGCTTGTTTCCATGGGACAAGACAAAAAAGTTTCTACTTTATTCTTTCATTTATTTAGTCGTGCATGGGCTTATGGTTTTCCAATCAGATTTTTTTAACTACTATGCAGTTTTCCTATGGCATTTAGATGCTTTTATTTCTTAATAATTTTAAAGTTCAAGGAAAAGGACACATTACTGCCACACAGCACATCACTGCATCTGCTTATGCCTTCAATCTAAAAATGTGACTTTGCCGAAAAAATGCCGCCTACTCGGCCTAAAATTATGACTCTGCCTACAAATTTTACCTTGATTTATGAAAATCTGGCTCCAGATGTGTGATTAATGAAGGTGAGATCAACCAGCAATCCTTATGATGCCAAATTTTACTGAAATCGGTGGATTTCAAAAAAGTACACCCGCCATATTGGATCAGCCATCTTGAATTTTTACAATGTGAATTCATATTCGTAATCAGCGACCCAAAAAACCCCTTTATACAAAATCTGGTCAAAATCCGCTCAGAATTTGAAAATAGCGATTCCTGCTCGGTTTTTTGAGGTTAGAAAAAAAACCACACGTTCTAGCTCAATTCTGACAGTGGATTTGAATTCAGCAGAGTCTTTTACATAAAAATGTACTATTTGATGTGGAAATAAATTTTTTTCCAAATTTTCCCAGTAAATTTTCATCAATTTTCACTATTTTTCACAAGTTTTTTGAGGTTAGGAAAAAATTGTGACGTGATGGGCCAATTCTGACCCCAGATTCGTGTTCAGGAGGCCAAATTACTACGAAAAATATATGTCACATAAAAAGTATACCCAACTTTTTTTTTCTGTGTGGCTGTGTTATTGTTTGTTTGTTTATTTTAAAAGCACAAAAAGTAACCATATCATATGACACATCATCAATAAAAAAAAAACATAAATTCACAAGTTTGAACCACAGTATGGTACTCATAAGACAAAAATTTCTCCATCCTGATAGGCGCTTGGCTAATATGACATATTTGAATTTTTCACAAAACAGCGCGAGTTTAAAATATCTCTCTTTTGGTTGTTGACTAAAGAATAATAAAAGAAATTAAAATTTTCAGTTTTCCATGGTATACGAAAATAGACCAAATTTCTCTTTGGCATCTTCATTAAATTCCACAACACTGCCCTAATTTGACTTTGATGAATTTGATTTGATGTTTTGTAGCCATCGTGTCACTGGTGCTGTGACAGCGCGCTTTCAACCGGCACTTGGCTGCCTATTTTCATTCTGGTCTATGTACATGTCATAAATTTTTTCGAGTCCGACTTGTTTGTTTTGTTGCGCCCCAGGCGATATCTTACATTTTTTTAATATACACGTTTTGCTCATTTTTAGTTTTTCTATTATTTTATTGTAACGGTAACCATTATTCCCTTTTCACGTAAAGCCCGCGCATTGCAGGTTTCAACCTCTAATTTAAGCCGCGGCCGAGTACACGTGCCTAAACTCTTATTTCTGAGGTCAGGCGGAAAAAAAGAATTTTACCAAAAATTACCTGACCTAGTGGCAGTGGTGTAACTACCAGTTAACTGTGTAAAATCGTCTCGGCAGTTTTCTGTCAAGCGACATCCCGCACATACACGGGGTGAATTATTGTTACAATAGGAACAAATTGTAATATTTTTTGAAATCCTATCAAGTCCTGAATTTATGTTAGTGTTTTTCAGAATACCCTATATAAATGAAAGTGAACCCGTTTGTCCATGTATGCCCACTTTTCTCTGCAATCCCCAATTCCAGCTTGAAATGATCTGATTTTGATGGAAAATAAGTGGGTAGGCTAGGTTTCCTTCTTGATAATGTCTTAGTTTGGTTGGGGTGGCTGTGGGCATCACAATAGGTATGAGAGTAAGAAATAGGTGTCAGAGTGATATCAAATATTATAGTTGTACAAGAATTCCTGGTATGTGTTATAATGAGATCGTCAACATGTGAACTTTTGAAACAATGCAAAGCCATTATTTGGGATGAGTGAACGATGGCTCACAAGAAATCATTTGAACACTTCCATTGATTCTTAAATCGACTCCATGAAGTAAATGTGTGCCTAAAGAATTCATATATTTGGCAAAATATTGAAAAAATACCATTTACGAATATTAGGGCACAAATTTTGGAAAATTAAAGTGTACAGGGTGGGCAAATAAGCGAGGTAAGCGGCTGTATCTCAGAAACTAGTGATTGTAGAGAGCTACAGTAAAAAATTTTATAGGTAAAGTGGGCAAGGAAATTATTTTCAAGTTTCCAAGATGGCCGTGGGCGTTTCCACCATCTTGAATTACATAGTTACGTTTCTCGCGATTTTCCCCAATGAATGTAACAACAAAGTATTTGCGTTTTAATGTTAACTTAAAGTGGAACATTTTTTGTAAAAACAATTTTTCTCTATCTTTCCACATAAAGTGGTGGGGGGTATTTGAATGTTGTTTTAAATAAATGCCTGTAACTTCGAAACAGCTTAATGGATTTGGATAAATTTGGTATCATTGAAAAGAGCATTTCTTGGGCTTTTAGGTTTCTCGTAATCATGACAGTTGCGACCTACACGGCCGCCGATAGAGGGCGTTATTCGATATTATAACCAAAATATTGGATTTTCTCAAAAAATTTAAATGCGATGATATGACTTTTTTTAGACTAGAAAATAGACAAATGACCAACCAATAAGCCTGCGCAAACCGCATCTTAATATCTTTTTCCTAACTCAAATTATTTAAAAAAATACTAAACCAGGAAAATTCATATATCCCCATTTAAAAATGCATCGGTTGCTTTCGATAAGAAGGCAAGTAGTAGGCCATGGACACGACAATCGCCTAACAAAAATATTGCCAAGTAACGTCAAACTTTTGTCACACGCAGCCTAATATTGTTGATTGCGTATAATTTGAGTACTTTTTAATCAAAATGCCTCTCACAAATAATGAAGCCGTTGACATGATTGCGATTTATTTCGAGTGTTTTCAAAATGCAGCTATAGCTGCAAGACAGTACGCGGCACGGTATCCAGATCGCCGTCATTACGGGAGAAGAATGTTTCCGCGCTTGGTACAGCGATTACGCGATACTGGAAGTTTTCGTCGTCCTAAACGTCGCAGGCGTCGCAATGGAAGGACCGAAGAAAACATTATCAATGTCTTGGCTTACATAGAATTTGATAGACATGTAGGAACTAGAACATTGTCTCTAGACTTGGGAATAGCACGAACAACTGTTAGAAATATTTTGAAAGATTATAGGTAAATAATTTTATCTTATTCCAAGTATCTTAGCACATACTCTCAAATACACAATTCAGTGTTATTCTGATTATATTATTTTTACGCATATGTTGTTTTTTACTTTTAGATTACATCCTTACCACATAGTTTTGCACCAGGCGCTAAATGAACAAGATTTCGATAATAGATTAAATTATTGTCAATGGATGCTAGGCATGCTTGAGGAAAACAGAAATTTCTTAACGGAAATTCTCTGGACCGACGAGGCTACCTTTAGTAGTGATGGTAGAGTAAACCGTCATAATATGCATTATTGGTCCGCTGAAAATCCGCATTGGTTAAGAGAAGTGCAGCACCAGGGACGCTGGAGCCTAAATGTGTGGTGCGGTATCATTGGGGACAGAATTATTGGACCTTATTTTTTTGATCAAGCTTTAACTGGTAACCGCTTCTTAGAGTTTTTGATCAACGACTTGCCAATTTTGTTGGAAGATGTGCCACTCGAAACTAGGAGAACTATGTTTCTGCAATTAGATGGTTGTCCGGCACATTATTCAATTAATGTCCGAAACCATATTAACGGGACCTTTCGAGAACGCTGGATAGGAAGGGGAAGCCTATTTCCTTGGCCGGCAAGATCTCCGGACTTGACATGTCTTGATTTTTACTTGTGGGGACGCTTAAAAGACATTGTTTTTCAAACTCCACCAACAACACGAATGGATATGGAAAACAGAATTCGAAACTCAATTCGTCAACTATCAGCGGTAGAAATCGAGGCTGCGGTTCTGTCGACTCAAGAAAGACTGGAACAATGTGTGGAATATGACGGAAGGCAATTTGAACACAGAAGGCATTAATCTTTTTTCAAAATCGGTCCTTTTCAGGACCACAACTTTATTTAAAAGGAAAATCGCTTATAAATACGAAAACGTGCGACTTAAAATCACAGCACTAAATAAACTGACATTTCTTGTGAATATTTTAGAGAGGAGTTTGTCTTTTATTTCCATGGCCTACTACTTGCCTTCTTATCGAAAGCAACCGATGCATTTTTAAATGGGGATATATGAATTTTCCTGGTTTAGTATTTTTTTTTAATAATTTGAGTTAGGAAAAAGATATTAAGATGCGGTTTGCGCAGGCTTATTGGTTGGTCATTTGTCTATTTTCTAGTCTAAAAAAAGTTATTGGTTGGTCATTTGTCTATTTTCTAGTCTAAAAAAAGTTATATCATCGCATTTAAATTTTTGGGTCTAGGAAAATTTTAAATGAGAAAAGTAAAATTATATTGTCTGAAACGCAGGTCCTCTCTCATATGAATTTTAGGGACGTAATTTATGGTTCCTGTTTATCGGCACGAGATGCTGCTCGATTACAAAGAATTCAAAATTTGTGTGTAAGATTGATTTTTGGCTTACCCCGTTATTCACATACTTCAGCTAGGCTAAAAAATCTTAGCTGGTTAAACTTGAAACAGCGTAGATATTTACACAGTGCTTGTTTGTTCTTTAAAATTATTACATCTAAATTTCTGTTTTATTTATATGAGAAAATTAAATTTCGTCATAATATTCATTCTCTGAATACAAAACGCAAGCACCATATTCAAATTCCTAAACACAAACTTTCTCAATTCAAAAAATCATTTTCTTATAATATTGGCAAAATCCTTAATTCAGTTCCTCTTGATGTGTACTGGTTATCTTTCAGTCAATTTAAATCAGCATTATTCAAGCTTTTAATTACCAATCAACTTCCTGTAAAACAAGATTATGTACGTCCATATGTAAATAGTTAGATAATACTAGCACTTTTGCTACTACTTACCTGTGAATGTTTGTGCGTACGTACATGTGCGCATTTATGTGTATGTATATTTTACATATTTCTTGCTAATCATTATTTACATTACATTAACTTCTCATGATTTAGGTATTTAGTATCTTAATTAGATTTACTTAATTATATCTTAGGTTAAGAAAGGTTAAGTGGAAGAGCAGGATCTCTCTTGCATTTCTGTGCATTTAGCTACTGAACTTCGCCTATTAGAAATTACTTTTTATGTATTTAATATTATCTTTTTGTGTCTTCTGGCCCCTTAATAAAGTTATTATTATTATTATTATTAAGTATTTTCATATACATTTATTCCGAAGCCAAATTTTAAATGTAATGATAAATTTCTTTGAACATACTTGGATTCTGCAAGTTATTTAAAAGAAACTTTTATCAAGTGCCCCCTACCTTATGTTCGACCAGTTTTGAAATATATTTTTAAAATTTTTGGACTGCATCATGACACTTATTTGATGCAGCATGGATAAAAGGAGCCTTACACATCACACTCCCGCTTCTAATATTTCCCAGATATTACAACTACAATACTGAGTGTCACAATTTTTCAAGCACATAAAATCTATCTAACTCAATTTTTTCAAATACATACAATACAACTTTTGTATGTATAGTAGTATATCAGTCATAATGTTATTAATTTTAACCTTGTTATCTAAAGGCCTAATAAAGACAGTAAGTTGAAAAAAAAAATTTCTAACTTTTAAAAAATAAGCAAATTACCCCTTAACTCCCGTAACTCAGCGCCCTACTTCGCAACAGGGAACACGCCGGTTGGCGGACTACAAAGCATTCTAACGTTGAAGAGAAACAGCTAATTTCCGCAGTCATCTTGAATTTTGCAATTGGTTTCAAAATCAAAGTGCATCGGAACCTAACTTAACATATACGGATAAGTGAGTGTTTTTTTTAACCATACTGTCATTTTAAATAGGTAGGTACCATACTACTCTTTGAAAAGCAATAAGTCACACAATAAGATATAAGTACTACAAACTGAATAATTGATTTGAACATAATACTAAAAACTCATATTCAATTATAAAACATAGTGGAAACGTTAACATTATTAAAAATACTAAGTAACCTAACATTTGAAAACAGTTATTAACCTTATACATTTGTTTTTATTAACAAATAAATAATACTTGCATTTAAAAAAATTTTAATCGCATATTCGTCTTCTACTCATTTTTCCCTATCTTCCCTTAAAATTAATGACATTATGACATAATTAGCATAGGGGCTCTATGTGACCCTAGCATAAGATGATTAGACTACAAATTCAATATTATACAATAGTACTTACATAATATGCTGGTGGTGGAACATAGGCCATTTGTGGTCTGTTTGGGTCATAATAAGCCGACTGTGCTGCTTCAGCCGCTTTGGCATCTAAAAATAAATTTCATTAATTAAATAATAGGCAAGCTGTAAGGGCGTCGCCAGCCAATGGGCCAGGGGCTTTTTTCAAAACTACCCTGCCCCCTGACCCCCCCCCCTTGGCGACGCCCTTGGCAAGCTGCATTACAATTAAAAATTCACTTAAAATAGTAGTGTTTTCAGGAAAATAAAACATTTTTCAAAAAGTGTTTTCCTTTATTATGTTTAAATATGCAATGATAATATTTATCAGCAGTAAAAGAAAGCCACTTACCCGCCGCTGAGCATAATAACAATAGATATTTAAATTGTATCTGAAATGTGAACGTAATGTAGGATTTTATCGTCGCGCCTGCGCAAATTGAGTCTTTCTATATTTGTAGCCTCCATACATTAGACAAGTTTAACCGTACGATATGGCCTGTACAGTAATGCCGATTGAATTTTCATTTTTTCGAAATTCATTTTCAGCCATTGCGGAAAAGGTGCTACATAGAAGCAGAATTATGACTGTTAATATATTTGAAAAATGTAATTGTTTTTACTGCCCCTAAAATTTGAAAATTTTTCATGGGATTCCTTTTTCGGCCATTGCTTGATACATGCTACATAAAAGTACAATTAATTATAGCTGTGTCTTTATTGTTACTAAATTCAATTGCTTCGTACTGCCCCAATGACTTGAAAGTTTTGAAGATTTCTTGAAAGGACCCCGCACAAATCTTATGGAAATTGGGTCCCGGTCAAATTCGCTGAATTTTTGATATGTGATAGAGTTCATCATACTGGTCAATTGTCTCAATGGCCACAAAGCTCAAAAATGGATAGTTTGGCCGGTACAGAGCTTTAAAGCTCCGAATATCCTCCACGGATTTATGTATATGCGCAGTGTGTATAGACTTTTGAAATAGCCTATTTCATTTTTTTTATTATCTAGGTTTATATTTTTGAGGTTGCTGAATTCAGATCTGTTGTTAGATTTTCAAAATTGACAGTTGGCAGCTGTCAAATAGCTGTCAATGTGCTATAATAAAGCCAAAAACTTGTTTTTTTATGTTTTATCTTTCTTTTTTTTTAGTTCGATAAGTTCAAAGACGATATCAAATCAATAACAATGACTATCGGCAGCTGTCATTTAGCTGTCAACAATTCTTCAAAGTCCGGTAATAAAGTCAAAAAATTATTTTTTGTTTATAACTTCAAGTTTTTTAGATAAGTGAATATAAATATGATATAAAATTATGTAGTCATCAGCTTACAGCTGTCAACAAGCTGTCAACTAACTGTCAAAATGCAATAATAAAGTCAAAAAGTTACTTTTTTTAAAAAGCTTTAAGTTGCTTAGATCACTGAGTTCAAAAGTGATGTCATAAACTTATATCATGTTTGATTTCTTATCCACAAAGTTAAGCACAAAAAATAAGTTACTTGCTCTATTATTGCATTTTGACAGTTAGTTGACAGCTTGTTGACAGCTGTAAGCTGATGACTACATAATTTTATATCATATTTATATTCACTTATCTAAAAAACTTGAAGTTATAAACAAAAAATAATTTTTTGACTTTATTACCGGACTTTGAAGAATTGTTGACAGCTAAATGACAGCTGCCGATAGTCATTGTTATTGATTTGATATCGTCTTTGAACTTATCGAACTAAAAAAAAAAAAAAATAAAACATAAAAAAACAAGTTTTTGGCTTTATTATAGCACATTGACAGCTATTTGACAGCTGCCAACTGTCAATTTTGAAAATCTAACAACAGATCTGAATTCAGCAACCTCAAAAATATAAACCTAGATAATAAAAAAAATGAAATAGGCTATTTCAAAAGTCTATACACACTGCGCATATACATAAATCCGTGGAGGATATTCGGAGCTTTAAAGCTCTGTACCGGCCAAACTATCCATTTTTGAGCTTTGTGGCCATTGAGACAATTGACCAGTATGATGAACTCTATCACATATCAAAAATTCAGCGAATTTGACCGGGACCCAATTTCCATAAGATTTGTGCGGGGTCCTTTGCATGAAAGTTAAAAATACCTTTTAAAAATGAAAAACAATAAAATGGATATGAATATTTTTATTGTTTCTCTAGCATGTTGTTATTTGACGATAAACATAAGTACAATAAAGCAGAAGTGTAATAGAAAATGAAAGTTTTCAAAAATTGGCCTATCACAAGGATCGATGCTCTTTCTTTGTGTTAAAAACTGACAACCTTGCGAGAGTGTAACCTTGCCATGATGAACCCGTCTCGTCTTTCGAGACTACAAACAGCCATAGGATATTCTGTGATGATTTTTACACACCTTTCGGTTGCTTGTGTGTGACATTTCTCTTGCCATATTAACCTTGTTTTATAATTAACGTAAAAATAAAGGACAAAAAGAGTTTGCAGTCCACTTCAACAAAAACACTCACGGTTTGATGTAAATGCTTGGCACCGTCAATACAAAGTGCTTAAGTTATTATTGCAAATCACATTGGTGCATAAACCCTTAATATAAAATTCACCAATATAAGAAAATTTTCAGTCCATTCTAACAAGGAATCGTACAATCTAAGAATTCTGTTACCTGTCGTAAATCACCTTGAATGCATCATTTTTTCAGGATTCTTCTTGGACAAATTTTCGGAACATGAACTAGAATTAATAGCTTCACATATATCGTACAACTAAAGTTGGTCTGTGCTTAAATCTTTGTTACTTGTTACATCAGGCAAAGCACAGTTTGTGAATCGAAATGGCACAAGAGGAAGCCGCTCACAATCTATAAAAGATTTTCCTATATATCCTGTGAAACTTTGAGGTCCAGCAGTAGTACCATCAAGATGCTCAAACAAATTACTAAGAGCTTATTTGCATGTAATTGCATTTTCTCAATTTCATTTCCAAATATCGCATAACACCTCCTTTGGTACCCCGTGTTAAAACCCATAAAAGCCTACTGTCTAAAAAATCATACGTTTTTTATCCGCATTTCATGATTTTTTTTAGACCATGTAAGTGATAATTTTTTTCAAACCAATATAGGAGGCATATTTTGACATGTTGGCAACATGGATTTAAAATATATGCAACCATTATAACTAACAAGCATGGCCTCCCAGTCAGAAAATAATGTGCGTGCTCCAGGAAAACTGACAAAATATGAGATAAGGTAAGAATATTTTATATAAATCCCTAGGTTTTTATATTATCTGCATGAAAGTAAAAAATTTTATGAAAAAATAATTTAGAAATATGGTTGTTTTCATGTTGTCAGTATTTCACTAAAACAAAACATAATGTAAGGTTAAAGTTTAACGTATGAAAATTCATACGATAGGCGCTTATGAGAGATAGCTTATGAGCTGCAATGTTGCCAATATTGTATACAGGGTGGTTCGAATTTTATGCAGGAAACTTCAAGGACAGATAGATCTCTTTAAAATAATATGTGTTTATCTTATAAACATAGGTCTGGAACGGCCCCGTTTTAGAGATACAAGGTGTTGACGTTAAAAAAAATTGAATTTTTGTTTATATCTCGGGAATCTATTAAGCGATTTCAATGAAAAACCTACCCCACTGCACTTTTTACAAGTTATTGTAACGGATTTATATTCTAATGCACAAAATACGTAAAAAGGTAACTTGAATTTTTTTCCTAAGATTCGCCGTTTTCAAGTTATTCATACCAATACAATCCCTTTGTGGCAAACATTGTCTAACCATAATATGACAAGAATATTTATGTCTATGCTTAAAAGTAAGTGGACTCCCTATCTTTACAAATAAGAACAACTTAAATCATAATAATAATAATAAATGTACATTTACCAAAGGCGAGGGGTAGTGAATTTTCACAATCTGCATATTTGGTCACAAGAAAATCCTCATGAAATTCGGACAAGATCTTTTCAACACGAATTTTCTGTGGACGTGTGGCTCGGAATAATTCGCAATAAAGTTTGTAGACCTTTCTTCTTCCCACTTCGTCTAAATTTCCAGTCATTTCTAAACTTTCTAGAAAACCATCTATTTGAATTATTAGAGGATGTTCCATTAAATATACGACAAAATAGCTGGATACAATGGATGGTGCTCCTGCGGATTCTAGGAGAATGGCTTAATGAAAATGATATGGGACGATGGATAGGTAGAAGACCAAATGCCAATGTAAACCATAATGTTGCAGAGGGTCCAGTGTCTTGGCCAGCCAGATTCCCACATCTAAACCCCCTGAACTTCTATGTTTGGGGTTATCTGAAAAGTAAAGTTTATTCTACTCCAACAAATACAATACAACAACTACTGTAACGAATAGAAGACGGGTGTAATGAATTAAAAGAAAACTACCACATAATATTAGCTTCAATTAAGTCCATTAATAGAAGATGTCAGAAATGTATCGATGTGGGTGGTTCACATTTTGAACAATTGTTGTAAATACGTAACGTCTGTTTCTTGCTAAGTTGCTGTTGCTTGGTAAATATATTTTTATTATTATTTTGATTTAAATTGTTCTTATTTGTAAAGAGTATTAGGCCTCCAGGAAAAACTAAAACACGCCAGGAACACTACCTCATAGGTGGTATAGAAAGGAGTGTAAATAATTTTGTTGATGTACTTACAAATTGCACTTACTTTTAAGCATAAACATAAATATTCTTGTAATATTATGGTTAGATTGTGTTGGTATGAATAACTTGAGAATGGAGAATCTTAAGGAAAAAAATAGTCACCTTTTTTTACGTATTTTGTGCATTAGAATATAAATCCGTTACAATGACTTGTAAAAAAATGCAGTGGCGTAGGTTTTTTGTAAAAGAAGGGGGTGACCCCTGTTCAGTTGTACACCACTGGTTGAACCTTTAAAGCTCACATTTTAGGGAATGTAAGGCCTACTATCACACATTATCTGCACCAAATTTTATTCAGATCGATTAATAGATTTCTGAAATATAAACAAAAAATCAATTTTTAACAACTTCAACATCCTGTATCTCTAAAACGGG